TTGATCGCTGTTGTTGCTAATGCTCACTTATCTGAGAAATATCTACGGAATTCCTCGTGGCAAGGAGCGCAAGTTTATGTCTATCGTTGGGAAGTCTTGAGCCCTTTACAGGTGACAGTGCGATTTAGCTCAGTTCCGCCCCCCAATTTTGATGGAGAGCACTCCTTCCCCTACCATCAACCTCTCGAGAGGACTTTCGGCTCGCCGTATATTTAGAGTGACCCCATGCCACACGGACACATTTACAAACATCCATATTTTCTCCGGTATTCGATCCCGGGCCGGCAGACACGACAGTCAGCGACGTTAACCTGTTGGGCGGCCATGTTGATCGCTGTACTTCCCATTCTCTTAATGAATGTTTCATTATCCTCTATGCATGAAATGAATAACATCAGAACTTTCCTTTTGATGTTTTGTAATGCCATCTGGAGAAATTGCAGCATGCTGAGTCCGTTGGCCGTATTTTTCGATCTATCGGCACTTATTAAATAAGTAATACGAAACATTTTATAGATTATTTAAAAGTGAAACACATGCACATTAATATTTCATGTAAATATAATTAAAAAAAAACATTTTGAAAACCTATATGTATTATCACACGAAAGTAAATTTCTTAATGTGATTTCACATAAATTTGACTGGGTGCCTGTTAACGAGATTGTCCCCGCAGTTTTAAAAATTCGCTGTGTGTTCCGTGAAGATTCCTAACATCACGTACTGGCATAGGTGAACACCGCTCAACAAATATTATGAAAGTCTGCAGTTTTTTTCGTCAGCTTCTTTCTACGTTAACGACTTTATTTTGCCATGTCGGTTTTTTTTTTTTTTTTTTTTTTTTTTTTTTTTTTTTTTATCCTCCATTTCCTCATCATCATTATCTTTCTCTTTCCCCTGTGCAGTTCGATTATGATCTTGAAGGAGTGTGACGGGAATAGAATTGTTTACATCCACCCAAGCCTGCACCTCCTGTTCAAGAACTTCTCCAAATATGTAATTACTACATTATATCCAATATGTGGTACGGGCGCCGGATGGGTTTTAAAACCAGCAGAATCTTCGCCAGTTGATTTGTCATTTACGAACATGATCACAGGCCGCAAATTACACCAACTGCACCGTATAGTATAGTCCTTAACATCTTTCCAGGCAAGAGCCGGTACAAATAATATGGCGTCCTTTCGGAAGGTCCTGAGCACTACCTTCAAAATTCACACATCGACGCATACAAAAAGATCGGTAGTTCATCTTTATATTCCTTAGTTTCTACAGTTAAGGCTTCAGAGTGTTAGAGAATTTTATAGTTTATTTATCTCGTAAGCCATAACTTCAGATTTAAATTTAAACCTTCAAAAGCACTATTAATTTCATAATGCAGGTAAAACGGATATGGGTTATGAATTTTACTATATATTTCATTGGCTGCCGTGATGGTACTATGGTTGGGTGACGCTGACTGACAGACAGACACACCAGGCGAAGGACCTCCAGCCCAGGTCCTCATCATACGGGACCCATTCAGAGTTTGAAATATCTAACGCCCGTGGGACCTCGTTCTCGCAGGCGCAACCCCCGCAGTCCCCGTCCGGCTTTTACTAAGCATTGGGCAGAACGAAAACGTTGCCAGTTTGATACTCTGGTCACCTTGCCTCCGGGCACCACTCCATCGGCAAAACCACATTGTAGAAAGGTGCTCTGTCCGCTTTGTCAGTCCCCGCCACGAGAACTGAATGGGGTCAAACCCCCGGGAACTCAGGTGACCGCTGACTGCCGTACCGAAGGCCCCCGCCCGGAAGTCGACGGAGAGTACTGTGTGAAGCTACTGGCTAGGATCTGTGCCTAGGCAGTCTCGGCCACGAGAGTATAAAATTTTTGAGCTTGGCAGTTCCCGACGATCCGTAGGGAAGGGCTCATCCCAACCTTTCACGAGTCTGGTGGCGTAAATCCCCGTTAACTAGGTTATCAGTAGCCGAATATCGCCTGGGCCATTGAGCGTCCAGTTCCCGCTGTCCTCGGTATTTTGTGTAAAGCCTGAAGGGAGGGCTGCCCGCGTAGTACTGGCAGGTAGCAAATCAGTCTTCGACCAGTCATTGCTCCAGGTCACCATGCCCACCCCACCGTGGTCTCTTTTCACTGGAAGACGGGTCTTGGCTGGTTGTTCCGCGGTAGGTCGGATTTTTCCAAGAAGGAGCCTAAATTTGCTGATGTACTAGAAGATGTGGGCTCCGGGTCCCAGCACGGCCAACTGGATATTCACGAAGGTCGCGGTCTCAGCCGGTGTCTTCGGTCCATCTCCAAGGTGTCTTCGGTCCCATCTCCAAGGTTCTCAGCCGGTCCATCTCCAAGGTGTCTTCGGTCCCATCTCCAAGGTTCTCAGCCGGTGTCTTCGGTCCATTTCCAAGGTGTCTTCAGTCCCATCTCCAAGGTGTCTTCAGTCCCATCTCCAAGGTTTTCAGCCGGTCCATCTCCAAGGTGGCTACTGATTGGTCCTGTATCAATCCCCGCAGTGCCATTAAGTTGACGGAACGGGTATAGAGTCTTAGTTAGTACCGAAGGGCCCGGGTTCGAATCTCGGAGAAAGGATAACAAGGAGGTATAGTGTTTCTGGAGCAAAGCAACACTCAAGATAGATGGCGAGCCGAAATCGTCTCGAGAGGCTGTGGTAGTGGAACGGGATCACCTCTGGAGATTGGGGCAATAATAAACCGTGTAAGGAAGCCTCGACCTAGCCAGATCTAGGAGCCCCCTCCTCTTGTGTTCTATTCCATCCGGGGGGGGAGCCTTAGCAGTTAGCAAGGTCCGGCGGTCCTTGGAGTATACTTGGATGCAGGTGCCGGTATATTCAGCCTGTGCTTGTATATTTCATTTTGTTCTGGAAATCGTCTCGAGAGGCTGATGGTAGGGGAAGGGAAGTGGAATACCTTCGAACCGCACCTCGAGGCGCTTTATTTGGGTTATTCCATCTGGGACGAAACCTTAGCAGTTAGCAAAGTCCGCCGATATCCAGTAAGCGTACTTGAATGCGGAAGTACCGGCACATTCACCCTGTGCCTATATGCTTCATTTTATTCTAGCTGAAAATGATCTTTTCGTCAGTTTAAGGTTCTACGAAGGTTAATTCCCCTTCCTCTAACTACAACAAAGTAAAAGGAGCTACTTCGTGTTACTGAAAAGCAATTGATTGACAAAACAATAAGTTTCTTAAAATGTTACATAGAACTTTAACAAAAGGTCTATATGTAAAGAAAATGAAAGGTACTTTTAATATAACAGTCTATTATATCAGAAGTCTACAGCCCAAGTAAGATTATCTAGGATGCCAGGTATAAAAGAGCTTCAAGGAGGCCCATTTTACAAAACTGTAGGTTCTGTGCAAAACCTATTACGAAGTCTTCCCCCTTAATTTTTTCAACATGGTGGATGTCCCTATGCTTCACGCAAAACACATTTTATATAAAGTATTTCGTAAAATAATCTTATAATTTAGCATTATTCATAATATTCTGGTTGCAATTCCATATTTTTAAATCCTAGAACTGAAAAAATACATATTTTTGAATATTATAGGATGATTTGGAGGCCTCCTTGAAAGAGGAGGCCTGGGGGTATAACATTCCGAAAAACGACGATAAGATATTTCTTCTCTGGAGGTAAAAATGGTAATAAAATAGTTTTCCTGTATAGGAGCTAGTGTGTTTTCGTTCAATAAGCTTAAAGCTGGAAAGCTATTGAATAATAAATTAACAACAATAAACACAATTGTTTTAAAAAAAATCTGAATGCTTTCAGGTTCTATATTACGACCAAAGATGTGCATGTCCTGCCTGTTACATTTATTTTGTGTTCTACCTTTATTTATCATGTTCTTCGCACTTAAGCCATAAAATTCATTTCAACAGCAATGTGTCAAAATATTTAAAAAGAGCGTATCTTTAGAATTTCCCATACACTATCCCGCGCTGGAGATAATTTTTTTTTTTTTTTTTTTTTTTCGTACAGTGTTGCCGTGCCTCCCTTTGTAATCCTTGAGTTTCTTAATCAGGAATTCATAAATGCTTTACAAAACATGAAATAGACAATAAAGCAAATTCCAAATTTGTGCTGCCAGATGCCCATATTCGAGTGGTGAACCACGTTATTCAAAATTTGATATCTCTAGGTACAGTTGTTTTTTCACAATGCGAGAAACATACATACATTCATGCAGATTCTTTATTATTCAATTTCTTTAAATATAATGCAGGGCTTTAATATTTGGTGGCAACAATTTGAAAAGGCAAACTCTGTTTTGTAGTGGACAACGCAAAATGCCAAAACGAAATTAATAGTCCTTCTGGGCAAATTGTTCCTTTGGACTAATAAAGAAAGAAAAAAAAAGAAAGGAAAAATATTTTGCTCAGACCCTCACATATAAAGCTTATCGGAACCTTGGAACCATCTCTTAAGTGGTGGGGAAAAAAAAAAAAAAAAAAAAAAAGAAGTAGTAAAAAAAAATAAAAATGCAAGTACTTGTAGTAATCATGAAATCAAAATTATTGGTTGGAGATAATTGGAATTATAAATTAGAACTGAAAGATATCAGTGAATGTCGAAGGTATCAAAAGGTGTGTGTGTGATTATGGCAAAGCCTCGAGGGCTATCTGCCTAAGGTGAGGGATGCCTTCGTGGAGGACTTTCTAAGGGAAACTGGCTCGTATACACGTTACACATGGGGAAAACCACGAAAACGCCCATGCAGCCAGCCCGTTCGCGGGATTCGAACCTCGGACCGAACTACCAGTGTTCAGCGACTTTACCGCTCGGCCGCTGGTGGGCGGTATCAAAAGAAATCTAACAGAACAATAATATGTTTTATGGATTTTCAGAAGAAAAATATTTTAAATACTATATGTCGAATTAAGGGATTTAGTAGAATCGCTTCGGAAGACTAATTCGGTAAATCGCAATGATTACAATTATAAAATAAATACAAAATTTATTTCTCATTTTCGGACACATTATTCATGTTCATATAATACGAAATTTAAATATTTTCTTTGTTTGACTACGATGTGAAACGATGCTATTATTCCCTGAGATTTCAAACGTCCTATCAGATCTTTAAAGACTGAACCAAGAATTTCAATAAAGGAAATTAAAGCAGTTGGAACCTGTAGAAAATACTTGTTGAGCCTATTAAGAATAAGTGCAATTGTGTTAGTATAAGAGGAGAAGGTATTGGGGAAACTCCCCAAATGGGGTATCAGAGCTTCAACAATAAAAAAGAAATTGCAAAAATTTTATGCAAATTGGATAAAATAGTCGGAAAAAACTTATCTTAGAAGACATAGCGCTTTGACAGGTAATATAGCATCCGGTATGGGCAAGGTATGATAATTATAAAAATCGCCTAAAGAGTTATTTAATGAATATTATTTAAAATGTAAATGTCATGTTTTTTACTTCCTTGTACGAAGTAAAAAGAAAGTATTGTAATCGCGAAAAGTTTCAGGCAGCATATTTCAACGAAAATATCCATTTTGACCGCTATCGAATGCAATTTAACGATGTTTTTGCGTGATATCTGTACGTAAGGACAGAATAAAAGACTCTTTTTCTCTTTCCTCCAAAAAAAAATTATAAAACTGCTTTAAAATCAATTCTGAAGAGAATTTTTTGTAGCGTCTGTACGAACGTATGTACGTACGTGCGTACGTACCTCGCATAACTCAAAAACGAGTAGCCTCAGAACGTTGAAATTTTGTATATAGGACTGCTATAACATGTAGATGTGCACCTCGTATTTTGGTTGCAATCGGACCGCCACCAAACGTATATAAATATATTATATATATATCCACTCTGTTTACTCGGCTCAGTGATCTCAGTTTCTTTACTCTTATATATTTGTAAATTGAACATTTTTTGCTTAAAAAAATGATTGAATTCATGTTGTTTTTATCTTCCGGTTAAGGTTTTTATGCCTTTAGTAAATCTCTATGCAATATTTTAGAATTATCAACAATTTTAAAGTTGTATAAGTGCCGCCGCTAACCTAATCTTTTCTTGATGGCGGCCATTGTTTGCTTACATTTGAAACAGCAGACTAGTGGATTTGTTGCCATCTAGAGAAACTTAGCTTCGCAACAACAAAGATAACGCCTTCATTTATTATTGCCAATTAAATCATGCTTAATCCTTTCTGGAATTTTTTTCGAGGAAATAAGTGTTAAGATTTACTTCGTAATTTTAATACAGATATTTTGAGTTTTTATGTATTTTTGCCTTGTCGCGAAGTGAGAACTGAATTAATTGAATGAGAAATACTCAATCGTCTGTGAAAAACTGTTTCTTTTTTGTTTTATTTGCTTAATTTCTTTTATACATCGTTCTAGCCTTATTATAGTATTTGAATAGAACATGTGGCAACGATTAGATAATTCTATTCTTTAAATGATATAAATTTTGTGCATTATGAGTTATAATATGAACGAAATATAATACTGTTAAGTGAATCTAGCGCCAGAATGTCGCTATGGTAAACAAATACTAGAGTGAATTTTAAAGAATGCATTTATTCTATTGTGGTTTGTGCGCTGTCGGCGAAGTAGATTTAATTCAATCCAATAAGTTTAAATGAAATTCAAGAAAAAATGTGTATAATTTAGTATGCCGTACTAGGAAGTCATGTGGTGTACACGTCAGATTTTTTTAAAAAAGGAAAATTGTATATTGAAATAAATAACTTGAATATATAGAAATAAATAAATTGAAATATTAAATTTATAACGTAAATCCTTAGCGTCGCATGGTTTTAAACTTTCTTATGCAATTCTGAAATGCATTACTTTCAAAATTATTCTGAAAATATTCCTGCCTCACCGCTCCAAGTAAAGTAAATTTTCGCTTAAAATACCCAGCAGTTTGAGATTCCATTATAGATTTTATTTCATGACGTCATTCATAGATGGCAGCACCAACGACCTCAATTACATTTTTCAAAGGAGAGGGAGGCAGGGAATTCCTCTTCAACAATGGGCAACCCGTAATCCGGATCAACTGAAGCGATTGTGCTTCTGCGGCCAAGCACAAAAGCCTTCGTTTTCGTGTTTTTTGTTTCCTTTTATGATTTTTCCCGATTCTTTATTTGCGCTGAGCTTGTAGCATTTTCATCCCGCGGGCCAAGCACGCTAGTTATACAATAGAAGGAATAGGAGTTCTTTTGGAGAGGCTTGAAAAATAGAGAGATGGCATCAGCATGATTTAGATGATGTAGAAGAAAACCTGATTTCGCAGTTGGAAGCGCCACATGTGGTCCGGCAGTTAAGAGTTCGTGGATCGTGAACTATGACCATTTTATTATATGGCTGATGCCCGACTCCCACTGACAAGGGTTACAAATTTCGAAACTGGAAAGTTGGATTACAGGGCTTGGGAAAGGTCCAGAAGGGATAGTTTGAGGAGGAATTTGATTAAGATAGTTTGCTTATTTTCCTAAGTACGAAACCTTCATTTCGTTAGATCCTAATTGGTTTCTTTAAATTACAATAATTTTGCTGCTAAATGGGACTTATCGTCAGTCGGGTATACTTTGCACGGAAATGAATTCTTTTCAGTTTACAGTTTGCTAGTTATTTGACTCTTAAAACGATTAACCTTTTAAGAAACAAAGACTACTTAAAAGTCTAAAAATATGCTATTATAAGGGCCCAAAGGAGCGTTAGCACAGAAGGGCTATTAATTTCGTTTTGGCATTCTTCATCGATTCACTTTCTGCTTTGATTCACTTTTCAAACTGTTGCCGCCAAATACTATCGCCCTGTGTTATATTTAAAGAAATTAAATAATGAAGAATCTGTATAAATCTATGTATGTTTCTCGAATTGTGATAAAACAACGGTACCTAGAGCCATCAAAATTTGGATATCGTAATCTTTCATAGAATATGGGCCATGTGGAAGCCCTAATTGAATTTGAAATTTGTTTTATTATCGATTTAATATTTTGTAAAGCATTTATGAGGTTTTGATTAAGAAACTCAAAGATTTGGGCATCTGAAAGACCAAATTCGGAATTTGGAAATTGTTTTATTATCTATTTCATATTTTGTAAAGCATTTATGACTTTTTAATTAAGAAACTCAACGATTTCAAAGCGAGCAATGGCAACACTGGAGGGGGGGATAAAAGTATCTCCAGCGCTCGAGACTGTGCCTCGGAAATTCAAAAGATAGGCTCATTTTAAAATTATTTTGCGATATTACCGTTGAATTGAATTATATGATTTAAATGCGAAAAACGTGATACTTAATATATATATACCTGATAAATAACACAGAAAACGTTAAAAAAAAAAAGCCCCTTTGTGCGTAATGTAAAAATCTGAAAGCTTTCAGATTTTTAAAAAAAAATTTCTAAATTTTTTCCTAACATTCCTTTATCACTAAGTAACAGTTTTTCTCACCCAATGGCATGAACTAAAGTAGCGGAATAATGCGGTGTTTCTGTTTGCTGAACTCAAACATATAATTTGAATTTTCTTTTCACAAAAGTTTTGTTTTTATGATATACAATTAAAATTTAAATAAAGATACATAAGTTAATGCGTAAATCAAAGAAGAATGTGCAACTTTTGCTGAACAGGGCCTGTGGAACACTGATGTTATGGTCCTGGTAGATATCAGACAGAGCGTTACTCTTCTGTTATCGGGGACCGGATTCAGAAATTTATGTATGTATAAGCGTGTGTATGTATGTATGTGCGTATATGTGTATGTGTTACGGTGAAACACCGGAATCTGGAGAATGTCGTCTTTCACCGGTGAATATCAACATTGACATAGTCGCTTGGTGTATGTCCGAAATATTTTCCAAATACTCTTATTTCTGACTTACGCCGGTGAATGTCGACATTCACCATCTACTAATGGTGAATGTTGAACATATAAGAATATTATATTTCCTTCTCCGTAATTCATTCGCGAAAAACGCACTTGAGACTCAGAATAAGAACTTGAGAATATAAGAACTTAAAACACACAGTACATTCAAAATGAGAAAGGAAAATAATAGAAGTTATAAACTTGCCAAATTATGTGATTCAAATCTTATTTATTGCATCAACTTAAACTATTATGACACTTTGAATTGCACAAGAGGCCCTTGCTTTTACAACTGCATTTATTTGTGGAACACTTCCTTTTGCAATGTCAGCGTGTACATATACTCCTCTCTTTTCGACCTTCACCAGAGCATATCTGTGATTGTCGATATACACCGGTGAGGGTTCGAATGTACAAGAATGTAAAGAAATATTCGATCTTTCACCCACGTATTTGGTGAATGTTGACATTCTCCGGTGAAAGTCGACATTCTCCAATTTCGGTCTTTCACGGTAACATATGCACATATACGGGATACGTATGTACACTGCGAAAAAAACAGGGGGGAGGACAGTTCTATATGTCTCGTTCTACTGGGCTGATTGACGAAATTCAACTTGCGTTTTTCATGCCTCGAAAGCGCAGCTTAAGATATGTATTAGCAATATATAGCATTGTTTTAATATAGGTGTTTCAACATAAAATCGGACCTTTTCTGAACGACATACAGATTGTTTTTCCATATTTCGATTCTACGACTCAAATTATTCCAAATTGCCAAGTTTTGTAAAACTCGCACCAGTAGCTTTTAAAAAAATTAGCTCTTGAAATTTTAGCTCCTCAATGTTAATTGAATTTGGTATATATGTAATAATATCTCTTGTTTTATTAAACTTATTTGATTCTTCCTTTCGCATTTCGAAGTTTAGGTTCATTCCAAATAAAATTCGCCCTTTTTTTTATGATTTACTTTTAAAATTTCTATTTTTAAATAATTTTTATAATTTTTTTAAAAACATTTTAAATTATAAAATATAAAATTTTTACCATCATCTTAAAGTAGATGTATTTCTAAGCATAGCTGCAAAAAGTTAAGAGTTTTTATTCAAAATTTCCTAAGATGTACGTGAATATACCTTTTGCGCGTTTTGAAATTTGGCGTATTTATTATAAGCGATAATAACGAAAATGTGGTTTACGCACTATGTTAAAAATTATATGAAAATATAAACGATGACGTTTTTTCCGCTCGCGTTCAATGGGAAAAAAAAAAAGGAAAATAGGTTGCTATAAATTAAGAAGTTCGCCAAAT